GCAAGGAACTGGTAACATTTATCTGGCTCTGAACTCTGTTTTGCAGATACTTCTTTGAAAAAGTTTCTAATTTCTTACATGACAGTGCATTCAACTTTCAACATTTTAGATAAACATTGATAATTTACATTTTTCCAGAGAATAGTTTATTCTATTAAAGTTTTTACATTTATTTCTTCTTGCATTCCCTCCTTTTAATGCTTTATGTTTATTTTGCTTTCCTTTTTTTCACTAATTAGATTTACTACAGATTTTTTTGTTGTAACTGCTTTTGTTGCTCTTTTTCCCAGCAAAGAAACAGAACTTGAACCAATTTACAGTTTCTCTGTTTCTAATTCATTAAATTTGACCTTTTTTTAGTTTGCCTAAGTTAGATTTCTAATTTTGTACATTGAATATTTAATTGGAGTTTATTTTATCTTGTTTAATAAAGAAAACATTTAAGGCTACTTATTTGCCTCTGAGCATAACTTTGACAATATTCCATAAATTTCAAATGAGTATAGTATTGTCTATAAACTATGCTTTAGCTTTTGGTTTGCCCCAAGTATTTAGGAGAGTTGTTTTGTTTTGTTTTGTTTTCTTATTGTCCAAGATTCTTTCAAGTTTTTGTTATCTTTATAGTTCGGATGATCTTTACACTGCTTATTTCTCTTTCAGCAGAAAGTCTTCTGATCTGTCCTTGAGGAATAGTAACTCATCAGGAAAGAATGGAAACTATCTTTCCATCCTCATCCCTCTTTGAGTAGAAAGGCTTTGTGTGTGTGTGTGTGTATTTCTAAAGTTTGACACTTCATCACAGACAAGCAAGCCCTATTATAAAAGCAAGGAACCTGATGGACCTTTAATTTCAGGAGGAGGGTTTGGAGATGTGTGATAGTGAATGAAAAAATAAAGCACTCCAGTCCGAGGTGTGATCTCCAAGTCCTGGGAATAGAGACTAGTTTAATGAAGAGAGGATGATGGAACCCCCTTTTGCAAAACATCGCTGAAGTGTAGGACCTTGGAGGAAAGTGGCTGTGTGTGAAGACAGGTCCAGATACCAAGAGCTGCAATACTGGGGCCCATGTAAGGGGAGTGAGCTTCACATGGAAGAAGTGGGTTTGCTCACAATGCTGCTCCCCTTTGAAGGACATTGTTGAGGCATGACTTGGGACACAGGGACCAGCAGTTCTGGACAGATAGAGGAAGACCCAGGCTAGCAAAATTGTCTTGTGAAGCAAGAAGCAACTATGGTGAAGGTGGCAGCAGGCTTAAAGAAGCTAGAGTTCTTCCTTGCTTCAGAATAAAAGCCTGCCTGTTTTCCTTTTTAAACTGAACCCCTTGGAAGAGTGTAAGGGCCCATAGATAAGAGAAAGGCCCAAGAATGAAGTCCATGACCTCTCACCAGTCTGGAATGTGGGGACTCAAACCAGTTCCAATTAATTTAAGAAATAAATAAAATGTGGTATTACTTGCATCCCTCCTGGGTGGAGCGAGTTACACATATCGTGTTACTTTTGAATTTTATTTTCTAGTGGCTGAAGCATATGCCTTACATAATTTTCATTTTTGAAACATTCCTGTGTTCTTTGTGAATTTTTTATATGTTTTCATAAATTCTAAACATTTTCATTGATTTGTTCCTAATTACAAAAGTAGTCCATGTACATTAGAGAAAAATTTTAAAGATAAAAGCATAAAGAAGAAAATGAATCTTTTAAAATACGTTTTTAATGTCTAAGGTATTATTTGTGTACATATATTTGATACCCAGTGTTGGACATTTAGGTTGTTTTCAACATTTTTCTTTTATAATTAATATTGTGATGAACTGCACATTCTTAATTATTTATTTAGAATAAATCCTAGAAGGGGAATTATTGAATCAAAGGTTATATCCATTTTTAAGTTTTGTTACATTTTACTAAATTGCTTTCCAAAAAGTTGCAACTATCTCAACAGCAGCGTTTGAGAATGCCTGTTTCCTGTACCTGCTCCAACATTAGGTATTGTCATTTCTTAAATGCCATTACCTGAAGCAGGTCACCCTCAGCTCCCGCTGGATGACTTACAACTGTCTCTTAGTGGTCCCCAGCCGTCACTCTCCCCACTCTAATCGATTCTCCATACTCTACCCAGACTGATTCTTCTAACTTCCCTTTTTAAATTCCATAGCCCACAGAATGAGACCTAAATGTCCTCATGGTCCATGAGGTTCTTCATGTCCCTTTGGGGGCTCTTTGATCATCTTGTCATCCCCTTCTATGCCCCAGACATTCTGTTTTTAGAAAGAGTTATTCATATTCTCTCTCCCTCTCTGTCTTTGTCTCTTACTCTCCTTCTGTCTTCCAGCCTCTGCATATGCAACTTCCTCAGGTTGGAACTCTCTTTCCCCTGTTCCTCTGGCTAACTGCATCCTCTTCCACCAGAGCATTTGGACATTTTCGTATCTGCAGTGTTCAGACTGGTGTTTGGCATTAGGCAACGCTGCCCCCTAGAGGACTCCTGTGTGCTCTGAACTAACCAGGCAACTAATTTGGGAATGTTTCAGGAAGTTAATCTCTGATGGAATATTCAGGGAATCTGATATCCATATCCAAATTATTTCTTTCTTCAGATATTGCTTCTACTGCATTCTTTCCCCTCTCTTCTTCCGGAACTTCAAAACCTGTTAGATTTTCTCACTGGATCCTTGGAGTCTCTTATTCTTTGCTTCATATTTTCCATCTCTCTGTTTCTCTGTGCTGCATCTAATAGTTTCTTCTCTCCCATCTTCCACTTTGCCAAGTCTCTCTTGAGCTATGTACAATTTACTGTTAAACCCTCTGCTGAGCTATTAAGTTAACTTATTGCATTTTAAAATTATATAATTTCTATTTGGTTCTTTTCAGCTCTGCCATATTACTTTTAAAATGCAATTTTCAGGTCCCTGCTGAAACTTTTAAGCTTGTATTTTATTTCTAAAAACATAGTAAGCCTAGTTGTTTTATAGTTTGAATATGATAATTCTAGTAGTTAGGTCTTTGTACATCTATTTCTGTTGTTTGGTCTTTCTGCTCCTTTTTACTTATGGAATCTGGTGTTTGAATTTCTGGTTTCTGAGTATGTCTGGTTATTTTTCACTATGTGCTGGTCATTGTTTTTGAAAAGTTCTTTGAAATATTAATTATGAGGCCTAGGATGAGGACATGTCTTTCCTGAGAGCTTTTTCATTTATTTTTGCTGGGTGCCTAGGGGTGTTTCTAGTCCAGGACCCTGTTCATCTAAGTTTAAGTCTTGAGTTTTCTCCCACTGCTAGGATGTGATAAAACTAGGCTATGGGTCCCTACAAGGCTTCCTTCTGGTTCACCTTATTCCGAGGCTAAGGCCCTTTGGGGTCCCAGCTTAAATAGGGGATGTTTTAACACAGTATGTATTTTTGGTGTGTTCTGGGCTTTGAGTTTTATCTTCTTGAGCCTGGATATCTGCCAGACACAGTATTCAGTTGTTTCTTTTGTATCAGCAAATGCTTCCAGGACAAAGGGAGCTTTGAACACTGGGCTTACCTCTTTGAGTTCTTATCCTTCCCTAGATTTGAACCCAGAAATTCCTCACTAACTTGTTTGTTCTTTGATGCTTTAAAAAATGTTTTTTCTTCCAGCTTTTTTGGTTGTCCTCAGTGGGTGGATTGGTCCTAATTACCTTATCTTTCATAACATAAGTGGAAATCCTTATTCCTTGTTCGGCTTGGACCTAGGAATGCCAAGGGATAGAACTTGAATTTAGCTCTCAGTTGTGGGTCAGATATGAAAAGATCTCTCTAGACTGTTTAGGTGGACTCGCAGACTGAAAGAAGCCAAACCAAAAGAAGAGACCAAAGCCCCCCTTTCAGCTCCTTAGATAAATGGCAGGAGGGTGTGCACAATACCCTCTCTAGCTGTCTTTTATCTTAGTCAGTTCTCCTGACTAGAGGCAGGCTGCATCCCTATCCCCATTACCTGGTCCTCAGATTCTCTGGCAGAGCTAGGACACAACAGCCTACAACTACCAGAGTGCACTTCTATTAGGGTCCCCTGGTCACCAGCCCTTCCCACAGCACTTTACTTGTAGGAAATACATTTCCCAGGGTGCAATGTGCCTCTGCTGGTCCCCCACTCCCAATCTCACTTGTTTTCTAATTGTGTTCTGACAATCTCGGACTGAATGTAAAACAAGGTGGAGCAAAGGGAGAGGAAAGGATGAGAAGAGCTATAGCTGCTTATTTTTCTGGTTGTTCTAGACCTTGAGTTTCTCATCCAGGGTCAGGCAGATCAAGGGATGCCTTCCTGTGGCAGGCTTGCTCTGGTTCTGACATCATGTCAAGGGTGGCATTATAGGCTAAATAATCCCCCCCCCACCCCCAAGTTGTCCATGTCTTAATCTCTGGGACCTGTGAATATGTTACCATACGTGGCAAAAGGGACTTGCTGTTGTGATTAAGTTAGCGATGTTGAGGTGGGGAGATTATTCTAGATTACCCAGGTAGCCCCAGTGTAACCACAAGGATTTATCATCTAGTTCTACCTCTAACTATTGTCGTTAGTGGGGGCTGTTTTGTGATGCTAGTGATAAGTCTATGCTATGTTCTCAGCAAAAATCGTCTTAACTCTTCCTTGTGATGGAGCAGGTTATTCATCCCCAATCAATTCACATCAGTTGTACATTTTCTGTGTAAAGTTCAGTGTTGATCATCACCGATCCAAATTTTGAGAGTCCTTTTGTGGAAATAAACTGAGATAGAATGAAAACACAAAAATACCTTAAAATGCTATAAATATTCCATCTAAGACAGTGTCTTCAATGTTTTAAACTATGGATCTACGTATTTAAAACAGGTTGTGAAATGGAACTCGGGAAAGACAGCGGTATGTGGCTGGCAGAAGACAAGCCCCGTCACCCACCCTGCCGGGACTCAGTCAGCCCTGAGCCAGCCACTCAGTTGTCCCTGAACTCCTGCCTCTCTCTCAGGAAACAGTGATGGATCGAGTATTTGGAAATTTGTTTTACGTTTTATCTGTTTGCATAAATAGAAGCTAAAAATAATAAAGGCACAGTCCTTGCTCTTGAGTTCACCTGGGGAGACAAAGAGCTCAACAAATAATTACAGTGCGGCATAATTGCTATGAGACAATGACAAGATGAGCAAATAACTGAACCAGGAGGAAATGGTAGAGGTATTCATTAACTAATTAATTTATTCAAACTGCAACATGCAAGCCCCGTGTCAGATGCTGGATAATTACTTACCCTGTGAATCATAAGCTGTGAAAAGAAATCTGCTGGAAACTCTAAGCACTCAGGGCCTCCCCGTCTCTGCCCCCGAGATGTCAATGTTTGTTTGAAGTGAGGACACCTACACAGGCTGGACACACTTGCAGGTATGGACCAGCCGGACCCACAGACTTCGGAAAGACTCTACACCTTAGCCTCTGAGGCCTTGCAATCCTCCACTCAAAAATTATGCCTTCTTCAAATTCCATCAGGCCTCAGTGATGGGGTCGAGGTGACCGTCTATGTAACCTGAAGCCCAGGACAGACTTGAATGTGTCCCTGAGGTGCAAACACTGTCTACCTTAGGGACCTGCGCACATTTTCATGCTCTTGCCTTGGTTTCTCCCTTCTTATCCTAAACAGCTAAGTTCAACTTCATAGTCACAAAGTCTGATGCTCCCAAATATAACTTTGTTTCCCTGTACTTGAACTTAGGATCATTCTCAAAGAGCCTCTTCTCACGCTGTGATAGAAAACCTAATCTTGCCAATTCCAGGTGATTCCAGTTTAGACCCTATGTCCCTCTGGGTACTAATGATGAGAAGGGAAAATGCCTCAATTAATATTTCAATCCCTAGACAATCTCTGATTCCCTCTTTCTCTTCTTTCCTCTTGCCCAGCAGGAACCTAAGCCGAGGAGTTAGTATATCATCACACATGTGATGGTGCCGGGGAAGAAGCTGAGCTCCACGGATCCTCTTCCCCGGGCATCCATCACTGATGTTACTTGTCCCTTCTTTTAGCAAGGCCAATCTTGAGGACTCCCTGGGAGCCAGGTGAGGTCTTCTGCTGACCAACATCCACTTGGCTCCGACCAAACTGATTTCCCTCTGTGCATTGCACCTGCTGGCTCTGCTATGGGGTCTGCTCTCTTCACTCCTCGCCATCCTCTTGACCAGACCAGGACTCTCCAAGACTCCTTCCACACCCCTACTTGGGCATGTGGAAAGTTCAGATTTTCCCTTTGTACTGTGGGAGGCAAGGAAGACCTGGGGGTGTGGGAGGGCTGACCCAGACCCTCTCTGCTAAACTCACCACACTGCCTTTTCTGCTCTCCTCTGGCCATCCTATGATGATGTGGGGTATTCTTTAGGACTGTTTCCTCCTACAGTTAGGAAGAATAATGCGTACAGGGCCCTCTGTTTCAAAATCTCCAAGCCCATCCAGGATTTTATCACCACCTCCCTTGTCCACTCAGGTGAGGGCAAAGAGATGAAGGCTACACTAGCATTTCAGTTTTCTTGCTTTCCTGTTCCATTCCCTTCTAAAACTTTGCCCCCAGACCAATAAGAGAAAAGGACCTTATTCTTTCCTATTCTCTGGTTTCCAAAAAACACCCTAGGTTAGGGCTCATGTGGCAAATCTGGTTGAAGCCTGTTTTTGTGAATGAAGTTACATTGGAACACAGCTCCCTCATTTGTCTACTTACTGTCTGTGAGCTGCCTGCACAATGGCGGGGTTGAGTCATTGAGATGAGGACTTTGGCCCTTTACAGAAGAGTTTGCTGACCTCTGTTCTAGGCTCTGAATCCTCTAGGTTTGGCACCAGGTATTTAAAGCTAAGCTTTTTGAATCCAAAGAAATCTTCCCCTTCCCAATTCCCACCCTATTGCTTGGTTCTTGCAACTGAGAACCATGACTTGAAGACTCTTGGAACTCAAAGTCAAGAATGGAACTGTTCTCTTGGGGTTCCTTTGTGTCTTCCCTTCCTTAGCACAGTAAGTCTGGTCTGGTTCTAGTGATGAGAAGGGAAAATGCCTCAATTAATATTTCAAGAGGTCCCATGGCACTCTCTCTGTCTTCCTGCTGGTGCTTCTGTGGCTTCATCCCCAGGTAGACATCTGGCTGGTTCTGGTGCAGTGTGCTTTCCAGCACCCTATGAAGGTAGCAATTTTCCCAGGAGAATCGGAGGCACTGGCTCCTACTGAGCTGTTTTGGACAGGTTCACCAAATGCAAGAATCATGGGATGTGTGAGCTAGAAAAGATGGCAATGTCTACCATTTTCTTCACACCCTCCCTCCCATCTCCCTCCTCTTTAACAACGAAGACATGAGATGTGGAGATTGTAATGAGGAGAAATGAGGGGTGGCCTCTTCAAGAACACACCACATGAATTGTAGTCTTCTTCTCCTGTCTGATGACCTGGTCCTGTGCTGAAAGAGATCCTGAGAGCAGCAAGTATCCGGGCGTCATGTGTGAGGTGAGTGGAGCCTGGCCTCTAACACGATGATCCCACTCACGTGACTCCCAGGGGGTTACCTAAACAGCAGAAATTCTCCCAACAGGACAGGACCAGCAATGACCTGGAGCCCTGAGTCTCTGGATTCCGTGCTCCTGGGCAGATTTAGGGAGATCTGCCTGTCTTTCTCCTTCAATCTTTTCTCGGTCTCTGGTTTTAGGGAAGGAAAAAGATGAAAGTCACAGTTGGACTCCACAGCGACCACTGGGGTGAAGGGTTCAAGTAAAGGAGTATTGATTCCAAATGACCACTGGCAACTGTCACACCACCCCTCCCCGGCCAGCCTTCTCTTTCTTTTCCTTCTTCTCTTGGAAATTGGTTCTTAGATAGCAACCACTGTTGACAACAGTGCAGGCTATGTTGGCTAAAGGAATACAGTGTGTGAGTCACAGCTGATATTATTAGCGCTCACCATTTCCAGGGCAAATCTGAACACAGCATGCACCTGGTTACATTGAGTGGCTCCCCACTGTCCGTGGTATCAGCTCTGACTCCCTCACATGGTATATAAAGTCCTCGCCAAGCTCTCCCACCTCATCTTTAATTATGTCCCCTCCAAATTATCTGTTTCATCCAAGCTTCAGCTTATTGAACTTTTTTTTTTTTAATCTAAAATGTGTTTCATTCTCTTCAGCCAGGGAGCTTTTGGACAGAACACTTTCTCTGCCTAGAAAACTGCTTCTACCTCCCCAAACTTCCAACACATTGACCCACACCCCAAACTCCTATTTGCCCGATTAATGCCTTCTTATCATTCAGATTGCAGTTTAGTCATCACCTCTTCCAGGAAGCCATCCCTGACTCCTGCGTGCCATGATCCCAGAGCACCCTGTACTTCTGGGACATGCTCCTTATTATACTATATCATATTTTAATTGTCTGTTTACTTCTTTGTGAGCCGCCTTAGACCAGAGCTTTGCCCAGGTGCCTGGCACTTAGAAGGAATCCAGTAAAATATTTGTAGAATAAATGAACGAGCACATGTGTGAAACAGGGTTTGCTAATCCCATTTGCAGGGCACTTTACATGGCTTTTCCAAAGTCAGCCACATAACAGGGAACAGAGCAGAGATTCAAATGTAGGCCAACAAAATCCAAGCCCGGTGCTTTTTACAATGTCTTGTAAGGCCTCACACAAGCCTGGCTGATCGGAAGGTATAAGGGAAATGTGTCCTTCAGATAGGGTATCATCCCCCACATAAACAATTAGAGAAGAGTCCAGAAGAAAACACACTAACAGGAAATCCTGATTATTGCCGGGGAGATGGAAATTAGCATTGATATCTTCCTTTACTGCTTATTCAAAAAAGAAAAAAGAAAAGAAAACAACCAAAATACTTTGCCTCCAATTTTTTTTTTTTTTTTTTTTTTTTTTTTTTTTTTTTTTTT